CATAGTCATAGTCATAGTCATAGTCTCATAGTCATAGTCATAGTCGTCATAGTCATAGTCGTCATCATAGTCATAGTCATAGTCATAGTCATAGTCATAGTCAGTCATAGTCATGAGTCATAGTCATAGAGTCATAGTCATAGAGTCATAGTCATAGTCATAGTCATAGTCAGAGTTTGTCAGAGTCAGAGTCATAGCCTCATAGTCATAGTGGCTATAGGCTATAGGCTATAGGCGTAGGCGCATAGAAGTCATAGAGTCATAGGCGTAGTCGGTGTAGTCAGAGTCACATAAGTTATAAGTTATAAAAGAAAAGTTAATAAGTTAATAAGTTTACGTTACGTAAAGTTATGTGAGTTGTAGCCTGTAGCATTCATATATAATTATATATCAAAATATCATATAAAATTTAATAATAGGAGTTCCTGCATCCAAGGGTGGATTTTTTGTCGATGGACACCTTGAACAAGCTTTGCACAGATGTTGAAACGTCGGAGGTTTACAAGAAGACGATGAGCGAGTTCTACGCTCGGACTGCCGAGTACCTGAGGAAGGCCTCCGCGCTGGAATCCAAGGTGAAAAAATGGCAAAACCGGCCAGCTGAAACTGATGAGCTGGCAGGAAGGCAAAAGGACCTTGCGAGCGCGCTCCACTCAGGGGCGTCAGTCTTTCAGCTGTCAGCTAAGAAGTCGCCGAACCCAGACAAGATGGAGCAAGTGCTGAAGACTTTGAGAGCTGAAGGCCTGGAGGCAGGACCTACGATCTGCGTTTAGTCGAGTCGAATATTATTTGCGCCATAGACCATAGACCGGACCATAGACATGTTACATACATTCATAGGTTCATAGGGTGTGCACGTGCAGGTGCCCATGGCCTGGCGTGACTTGCTGTTCCAGGAGAAGCTTTCTGACTGCTTGCGCTTCAAGAAGCTGGAAGAGTTTGCGCAAACGTGCCAGCCAGGACAAGGTGCTTTCGAAGGGGTTGCAGACGAGCGAGCTGATGTGATGCAAGCCAGCATTCACAAGTGCCTTGGCAAAACTTTGTGCGACCTTGTTCCGGATCCGGCTGTCAGCCAGAAGAAAAGCAAGAAAGGAGCAGCAGCTGCGACAGGCGCGGAGGTCCAGGTCCAGACGCTGCTGGACCTGGCGTTGCGTTTGGTGGAGGCGAAGGCGCTGCCGGAGGACATGTTGCGAGACTTGGAAATCCTGGCCGATGCGCTTGACGGTAAACGAGAGAACCATGCTGCCGCGCATGCCCGGCTGTCAGCCTGGAAGCAGGACGACGAGTANNAGAAATGAGCACTGGGCAGCGCTCGTTCAGGAGTTTTCCACGCCAGCCTCTGCTGCCCAGGCCTCTGCCTGCCTCCGTTCTGCTTTCAACCGAGTGAACGCGAACACGTCGCAAGTGTCAGAAGAAGTCAGAAGCGAGCTTTTGGACGCACTCCAGGCCGCAGCTGAGCATCCGAATAACTATGATTATCTGAACAGCGTGTTGTGCGGCTTGCAGCTGTTGGCAGAAGAGGCAAACAAGCAGCAGAAAGACTTTGTTCTTCGGTTTTGCAAAGACCTTTGTGGCCGTGGTGTGTCTGCTTCAGATTTCCATGGGGATGCGGACTTTGTTGAGCAGATCTTCTCGAAAGGCCATTGGAAAACTTCCTCCGTGAGCTGCGCAATTGCAGGCTGCGTTGCAGCAAAGCAGCAGCACAAGGACACGTTGCTGCAAACTTGCGCAAAGCTTGAGGAAGCAAGCAGCAAAGTTGGGCTGTGGCATGAGTTGCTCTCTGCCATGCTGGGCTTGGCCAAGACGGCGCAGAAGCATAAGGACAATGGGTTGGACCCGGCCGTCCAGGATGCTTTGGTGCAGCGCTGGAGCGAGGTGAAGCACCGACTCCAAACAGACCCGGAGATAGCCGCAACAGCTGAGCCTGTCAAGGAGGCCTTGGAGAACATGCTCAATGCGACGAAGACTGAGCAGGTGGGGCCTCAGGTCTACGAGGGCGCCTTGCTGGAGCTCCGGCTGTCAGCCATGGAACTGTTGAGGCTTGCCAAAGAGCGCCGCAAGCTGGAAGTGGAGGAAGCTGCCAGCAGCTTGCGAAAGCTCGAGCATCGCTGCTTGCAGTGCTGCGCACTGTCAGACACGCCGGTGTTCGCTAGGTCTTGCGTCAGCTTTGTCACCACCGAGTTCGCCACTGTCTGTGAGACATTGCCTTCCGCTGCCAGCGAGAATGTACCGGATGATGTCTTGAAAAGTTCGGTTTTGGACCACTTGCGCGCGGCCAATGACAAGGAGACCAACAAGCAGAAGCTGGTGCATGTGCTGCGCATGGAAGGCTGCGACGAGTTTTTGGAGCAAGCGTCCACGCTGCTGGAAAGGCTGCAGCCACTTTTCGCAGCCAAGCAGCAGTCGCTCGAAAAGCTCCTCGGGGAAGCTCTTGCCAATGCAAAAGCCAAACTTGTTAATCCCCAAATGGCCATGGATGACTTCTTGAAGTCAGCAGGTTCTGGTGAACTTGTTAAGAAAGCCTTGAAGCAACTGCGTGCAGCGGAGAAGGACATGCAAGGCAGTGGCATGCTCAAGGACGGCTCTGAACTGCAGCGCGAAGTCGCTGAAGTCAAGGCGTCTTGCCGCTTGCAGATCATCAAATGGGGAATCGTGACCTTGGTCTCCAACTCCGACATTTTGGCAGACACCAACAAGGGGAAGGGGCTCAGGAAGACTCTGCAGGAGATCTGGAGCAGTCACAGTGATGATAGTGAACTCAAGACTGTCCTGGGGCAGGCAGTGGTGGACTTGGTAGAGCAGTCGTTAGCGACGCCACAGAGAAGCGAGGACACGGAGGCCGCTGCACCCAAGAAGCGCGCTAAGAAAAAGTAAGTGCGCGGCTGGCAACCAGCGCTTCGACGACTACGAGTCTACGAATGTCCGGCTGGCAGCCAGGTATGCTGCGAGCTTTTCGCTGCGGCGTCCGGCTGCCAGCCAGCCGCTGGGAGTTTTGTGGCTGCCAGGTGTCCGGCTGCCAGCCAGCGACCGGCGACGGCGAGCTGAGGCTAGTGGCTAGAGAGCTTGAGCAGGCTGAGTCGTGTTGAAGTTCCTCCTGTGTTTGTCGGCCCGGTTCGTAGCCAGTATAGGCCCAAACCACAAAGTGACCAAGCAATAAATAAAGAAGGCATTAAGCGGTCGGCAAGGGGGCTTGCAGCCGTCACTGTCACTGCGAGCTGTGTGCAGAAAAAATGAGAGCCAGGGAGTGCTTTACTACTGTGTCCACTTCCACTTATCTCTTGCGCTGCAGTCGGATCCCCACGCGTGTTTTTGTGACACACCATCGAAATCATGGATCATGGAACCCGAAGTTCCGGCAAACTCATGAAAGCCATGAATTTCATGGAACCCGAATTTCCGGAATTTCCGGCAAATCACGAAACTCATGAAATCCGAATTTCCGGAATTTCCGGCAAAATCACGAAATTCATGCAATTCATGGAGCTTGAATTTCCGGAATTTCAGCCAAATCATGAAATTCATGGAACCCGAATTTCCGGAATTTCCGACAAAATCATGAAATTCATGAAATTCATGGAACCCGAATTTCCGGAATTTCCGACAGAATCATGAAATTCATGAAATTCATGGAAACCGAATTTCCGGAATTTCCGGCAAATCATGAAATTCATGAAATCCGAATTTCCGGAATTTCAGCAAAATCATGAAATTCATGATATTTGAATTATCGGAATTTCCGGAATTTCCGGCAAAATGAATTTCCGGAAAACCGGATGA